TGATTTGTAAGCACTTCCAGTCCCACTAGGGAATGCTGGAAGGAAACGGATCGAGCGAGAGTTTGAATTAAATTAAATTAAAATAGGTACTAAATAGGACACAGTATTACAGGAAACAATACACTCTACATTAAATGGATGGACACATAAAAAAAGGAATAAAAGAAGGCAAAAGGCCATATTTTCCAAGTCAGAATCGATTATCAGTACATGACAATTTACTAGGGTCTCTGGACAGAATTGTCATACATGAAAAACTAAGACCAGATATTTTAAGGACAATTGGACACCTCGAGGCGGTGTAATGGTTAGTGAGCTTGTCTCGTTAGAATAATTACGACTGAGTAGTGAGTTCGATCCTCACTGGGTGCCCCCTACTTTAGGCCTTGTGCCACATCTAAGCTACACTTGGAAAATCATTATATTAAGGACAATTCATAATGGCCACTTGAAACTAAACAAATGCCGTGAGAGAGCGAGCCAAAGAATCGGTGTGGTTGCCTAGGAGTTGGAGGCGTATCTAAGAAAATACTAGTTTTGTAATATACCGTCCAGCAAATAAAAAGGAAAAATTTAAAAAGTATCACCACTTCCTCAATGTCCATGGAAAAGAATTTAATATATTTAATGGTGCCAGAAAAATCCCAACTCTAAAAAAGAGGAGATAGAATGAGAATAAAATTGGATACAGAAAAATATTGGAACACTAAATGAACGATTAAGTCACCAGACACTGACAACGAGCCATATATTGTAATGACTAATCAAGATGATTTCCGAAGAAATAAGAAACATATTTCATTTACAGGTTTTGAAAATAGAAACCAGGTAATGATCATTACAAGGACTTTCAAACGAATAATCGTACATAGGTACCTTCATGAAAATCGATAGTATGACAAGTACGACCTGAAACTTGATGAAAGTATTTTTTTATATATATTTTGAAATTTTTGACTCAGTCTTAGCGTGTCCGAAATTTTAGTTAAAAATCTTGTTTACGAAATTACGAACAAAAACTCGATACCAGCCATTTTTTAAAAAATTTGTAATACAAAAGAAAAACTCGAAGCGGACCGACAATAAATACTCCAAGATACGTGTTTGATTTTACAAAGTGAATGAGTTATCGCCCTTTGACTATAAAAACAGCAAACCTCGATTTGTAATTTTTAATTTTTTAATTTGGAAAAGTTTAAAGTTAATTAATAAAAATAATAATTATAACATCAATAATGTGGTTATGGTGATTTGTAAGCACTTCCGGTTCCACTAGAGAATTCTGGGAGCCAATGAATCGAGCGAGAGTTTGAATAAAATAGCTGTTGATTTTAGCATTTGTGTATTGCTTCAGCTTTTCAATAGCTAGTCTCATATAATTTATTTTTCCACTCTAAGCTCAGTGGAACATCCACTAAGCCCCCCTCCAAAACTTGGAAGAAGTTCGACACCAAAAACTTACTACTCAGCGCCACCATGCGACTTTGGCATTGATTACGACCACCGACCGACGCCCAGTGTCCCACTGTTACAGACTCTTTGTGTAGACACTTGGTTTGCCAAGCCACCCCCGGATCCATCATGATTGTAAAACAATGTCTTCTTCGGAGCCGAAGTACATACACCAGTATTTAGCGCAGCCATACAAAAATAATTTATTCTTGATACCAGAAATATTTAATATGAATACAGTAATTGCATAAACAAGGGCGGTGATGTAGTAACGTCTGGAATGATTTCTATAAACAACAATAAAATGGTATTTATCGGAATTGAATGTGGCACTGTGAAAAAATAAAACCCATCTAAACCCGTCCAAGCGGTAGTTCCGTCAACCTCCCCAACGAAACCCTACCCTTCGGCGGAGCTTCCCCTCTGCAATCGGCAATCCTAAACAACAATAAAATATTGACGTTCAAAGATTCCCTAACAAAATGAGTATACATGAAGAAAAAAAATACCCTAAACTTAATAAAAACAAAGTTTTATCGTCAAAATGTTTGTTATTAAGAGGAAAGACCAAAGAATTTTTTTATATTTTGAAATTTTTTTAATGCTTTTAGAACCTTCAAAACTGAGATTAAAAATTTGTTTTTCTTGAACCAATGGGTGACCATAAATTACTATGGAAAATTTGAGCGTTTTTTTAGGATAAAAAAACAATGATTTGGAATTTTTGAAAAAAAAAAAAATCAGAAAATTGACGGATTTTAATGAAACTTTCAGGACTTATGCACAAATGAATGAAATTATTTTAGAAATGTTTCTTGGCAATTTTTACACCTGTTTTTACATCACTTATTTAATTTTAGTAGTAATATATTTGTATTAATCTTTCATCTTTTTACTACCACGTCTTTGTCCTTGAACCTTAAAGCTAGCTCTTTGAAATGTATTCCTCGCCATTTATAATCCTTGTTTTCACCCAAAGAAAAAATCTGCCGGCTTTTATGTGTGCCTCAGTCAGTTATGCAGATTTTTTCATGCCCACCTACAGGCATTTAATTAGTCCTAAGGCACTAGGTAATTCAGATGACCGTGTATGGCACAGACAATTTTGTGCTTTTCGTAAGGCGGGAGGGGGGGGAAAGATCATGTCAATTACATTTTTGTAGCGCTTAATGCTTATATTAGTTATAAGAACAAGTCCTTGAAGAATTTAAATCAATTTTTTTGTTGTTGTTAAATAAGACCCCAGTTACAAAAAATCTGCTCTGAATCGTAAAATAAAAAATGCAATAAAACTAAGACATTATTTAATTAGAAAAGCTTTTAATTGCTTTTATGAATAAGATACATTATAGACACGACTGTCATAAGAAAAATATAACTGAGTTTATGTAAGTAAATTAAAAAGAATAAAGGGAAGCTACTTATTGGCGTATAGAAATTACAAAACAAAAGAAAATAACTCAGAGTTAAAAAAAATAAAAATAAAAATAAAAAAATACAAGTATTTTAAAAGATAAAACAAAATTTTAAAACTACGTAAAATTTTAAAACTAAGCAATTGATAACCTTCGAAAGAGAATCTTGTCACTGCTAAGGCAGAAACAGATTTATTTGAAACTTGTAAAAATATCATTGGTGAATACAAACGAAGATATATCTATGGAAAAAATATCAAAACACACAAACTAGCAACCTCATTACTACCAATAATTTCACAAATTCCTACACCTATTTACAATATGTCCAAAACAATCGACCAAATAATCAAGTTAATTCTACACCGTTTTGTGTGTGTGAATGAGTGAATATGTGTATATAATATTTGTGAGAAAAGACTACAATATCAGTGTTTGAAGGGCAGTGTGGATATAAAGAGCAACACTCCATGTTGTCAATCACATGTCTCAGATGATTTTTAAAACGTAATGAATTATTTTGTTTCTTTGTCTTTCTGTTTTTTAACTGTTTGTTTTTAACATTTTTAATGTTTGTAACTTTTTGCTATCTTAAAAAGTAGTATCTCTTTCTTTTTTTTCTTTTTTTTTACTGAAGATTTATATTTTAAAAAAACTGACATATAACCCGACTGACTCACCAATAATAATAATAAAGATTTAATGAGACATTTAAAACTGGATAAGTCTTAAACTTTGCCGTCATTTTTTATAACATTAGTAAATTAACTTGCGATAATACAACTTAGTGTTATTTGATTTTAATGTAAGGTTTTGCAGTACAAGAATTACCTCGCTTGCAGCATGGATTTATTTATATACTGAAAATTTATTCTAACACGTAAAAAAATTAGACTTACGCCGCCATTTTTAACATCATGTGTAAACGTGAAATATCAAATATAACTTTTTATCAGTTATCTCTTTTATATGAGCAATTTGGTTATATGTTTAAAGTTCCAAATGTGAAAATCTAATAAAATTAAAGTCTTAAAATATCTTGTAACGGGATATCGACCTTACATTACATTACAATAACGCAGTGTTGTGTTTAATTTGTTGCTGTACAAGAGTTATCCCCCTTGCTCCGGTGATTTGTGTTGATGATGAACTCAGAAGTACAAAAACTCCAAAACAAGATGGCGAGGCAAAGGTAGAAGAAAAGTCTCACCATTAACTATATTAAGTCCAAATCAGACAGAGACTAGGTTGATCTATAAAACTTATTAGTCTGAAGAAGTTGATTTTCAAAACAAAAAAAATGCCACTAAGGAGTTTTTCCATTTTATCATTTTCTTATCCACTATCAGTTTTCATATATATATCAGTGGTGTCTAAACTTGCTTAATGTACGAGCCACACACGATAAAGTGCAGATGTTTGAGAGCCACAAGACATGAACAAAATTTACATATACGTTTTTGTTGTATACACATTTTGTTACAAAATCTTTATATAAATATTAAGAAATGCATGTATGCAATAATATTTATTCATATGGACAGTTTTTTTAAACTGTTTACTAACCATGAGAATTAAACTTATGTTTTAATCAAATGGGGCTCTCAATTTATACCCAGTAAATAATTATAAAGCTTTAAATTTTTCTTATTTACCGTTCATATTAACTGTGATGAAAAAAGGAAGTCATCCAACATATTTCCACGAGCTTCATATTAAAGGTCAAAGAGTTGCATGTGGCTCGCAAGATGTGGTTTGGCCACCCGATATATACATATATAAAGGACAAAATGCATCACACAAAAACATTTTCCACTTTGTCATCCATCTTTCCTCCAAAACTGTTCTCGATATATAAAAATTTATATATTGTTATCACAAATATTTTAATTCTTTTTTTTACAGTAATGTTCACCTGTATGAAAATCTTGTGGAAAATACATTTTGATTAAAAGCATTATCTATCTCAATTACCTATCTTCAAGTTTCTTTAATAAATTCCAAATCTTACAAATTGTATAATTCTTTGACGTTCTTTTTTTTTTTTTTTAAATTTTATTTCTTACATGAAAATTTCACAAGAAAATGTCTCTGCTGTATTTAAATTGTTAATTTTTTTTCAAATTCTCTCACGATCTTTTGGAGGGTTAGGTTTTCGGTATTTTTTCTCTGGCCTGAAAAAAAAAAAAAAAATAGAAAAATGAAATTTTACATATTTGTCTAGAGAAAAAGCAAAAGTTTTGTGAGAATAATTTTTGTTGTCACTTATTGAAAAACTGAGTTTTCTTTTTTTTTTTTTTTTTTTTTTTTTACACAAGTTTTAAAACCAACTTTTTATAACTTTCCACGTGATTTTCTGGGAATGATGAATTATCCTTATTTACACTCAGATTAATGACCTTATCATTCCAGCCATTGTACCCTTTGGGTAGTTTGAAATTTCCTGACAGTTACCCAGATCGACAATCACCTGGTGAAGGCTAGAGGACACAATGGGCAAAACATTGTGATAACAACAACACAGATGAGGATAATAGTCTGAGCGTAAATAATGCAAATAGTTATGTCCTACTTTCAAATTCATGATCGAGAAAACACTCATTTTTTCAGTTTACCAAAAATCTTTGAGTATTCCGAATTAAGATATTCTCCTGTTTTCTTTTAATTCCATTTCATAAGAAACCAAATTTTCCATCCCCAAAAAAAGTGACAAATTCATTGCTTTTTAAAACAATAAACATTGCCGAGAAGTGAAAGTAGTTAAAATAAAAATGGTGTCAATAGAAAAACTGTCTTTTTGACATTCCATTTTTTTCTTTTTTCAGCCACGAAGGTCCAAGTTTGCTAATTTTTACTTTATTTTGTAGAAGAGATGGTAGGATAAGCTTAAGCATTTTCACTGTTCATTTATACACCAGCCTATATATTCATCTTTTTGTTTTATTTTCTTCCAAGTTACAAGACTCTTCCTCTTCAGAGTTTAAGCACAAACAATATGTTACACTTTGCACTGGTCTGAGAAAGATTTTATAAATTTCAATCAAAAACAGTACTGGCTGCCCGGTCAATGAATGCAAATGTTTCCTTGTAGGGAAACAGCTAATATTATCATTATATCTCAGTAAGGAAAGATAACACAGCATGTTTTGTGCATTAAAAATCAACAGACACTGGCTTTTATCAATGTCGAGTTTCACTTACTTTGGATTCCATCTGTGTTTGGATGTAAAGAACATATTTGCAAGTTCATTATCTGTGGGTCCATGGGGTCGGAGGCTCAGTTTCTCTTCGAGGAGATGTTGAACCTTGAGGTGTGAATCACCCTGCAGCAGAAAAGAAAACTTTTCAGAAATAAGATTCTATTAATAATGATTATTTGGTTGATTGATTTTTTTTAGCAGCATATTAACACACCAATGGGTTATTTATTGCAAAAATGAAAATATTTTGATCACAATTTTATGGCTTTAACTAAATATATTTTGAACGCAATTCAACTACAGATAAAATGTATTGTTGGTGATTTTCTTTTAAATATGGATTTTTGTTTGGTTGATTTTGTTTAGCAGAATATCAACCTCCATGGGTTATTTAATACCAAATTCTAAATATTTTGTACATAATTTTATACTTTCAAGGTAAAGGTATGTTTTTTTAAAATATATATTTTGTAGATCATAAAATCTATAGTTCATTTTATAAAATAGGTACTGTTGATTTTTGTTTGAGGGTTCACTATTTGCCCATAGCTAGGACCCTAACAGGTGCTACTACCCTGGGTCAGGGTAGACTTATAAACAACAGCAATTAAGAGCTAGTTCCATGCTCTTCAAAAGCTCCAATCTCCTGATCAGTGGCCTTGCTGCCAGATGTAGTTTATCGTCATACTCAAGACGATAATAGCAATGAAAACAAGAGAATAAAAGAAAATCTAAAAGTAAAGAGAAATTACCCAACCTTAAAGCAGAATATGAAGGACTTATTCAATATGAGGATAAGTTCTGAAAAAAGAAAAATCCAAAAGACTGGAAACTTAGAAGCTGATGACTTCATCCAGTTAGAAGGACAGATGGATACCACATTGTGGAAATTGATAAAGAAGACATTCAATCTAATTCTGGTAATATAATCAAAGAAGTTAAAAATCATACTGGAAAAGCTAATTGGGTTTTTTAAAAGATACCATACTGTCTGGTTTTCAAATAAGATTAGTCTCTGAGTGAAGCTCAAATTCTATAACTCTATTGTCCTATCAGGAGATATAGAAAAATAAAAACAGGTGTAAGACACCGAACTTATTCAACTTCTACAGCGAGGCGATTCTGAGAGAATTAGAAGTCCTACCAGGCCTCATTATTGGCAGCCACGATCTTAATAATGAGATATGCAGATGGCACGGTGTTGATAGCAGACATGGAAAGGAAACCACAGATCTTCGTACAGAAGGTAGTGAAGGAAAACAAGAAGAAAGGACTAAGTATAAACTACAAGACAGACAGAATGCATGGTTATCAGCAAAAGGGGTGAGCTCAAAATGCAAATTACAAATCAGGGATACTAAAATCAAACAAGTACAAAAATTGAAATATCAGGGAAGTGTTCTAACAGAGGACATAAAGTGCAACACTTAGATCCAAAGACTCATTGGGATGGCCAAAGATGCTTTCCAAAATCTAACTAGAGTATTAAGAGAGAGCAATTTTGTTAGAAACAAAGAAAAGAGTGCTGAACTGTTATGTGATATCTGTCCTTCTATATGGCAGCAAATGCTGAACAATCTCCTCAAATACAAAGAAGAGACTTGAACCAACAGAAATGTGGTTCCACAGAATGATGCTGAGGATACCATGGACCAAACATGTGAGCAATGGCAAGGTTTTGTAGAAAATGGAAACAAAAAGGAAGCTTATACTTAACATCAAGAAGAGGCAATTGAAATTTCTGAGGCATGTAATGAAGGAGGGCTTGGAAAATCTGATACTCATTGATGTAAAAAGAAAGTGAAGGATGCGACAAAAGGAAAGAAACACAGTCACTCGTATCAATTTCTTAGTTACTCTAGCTCTCCATAGCAACATAGTTAAGAATGCCTTTCCCACTGTCAACTGCCAGTGTCAATCTCATTTGTTCTTTTATTCTCTCACAAAGTACTCAATTTGGGTTTTTGGATTAAATTCACATATATGCATATGCAAATCGTGTCAACTCTCCCAACATCCTTAGTTTGTGTTGTGATGAGATAACCCAACTTCCCCATTCACAATAATGGACGGACTGGTTGCCGATTAAGTACGACCACCACGGACAGTGAAGAAAAGGTCTTCGTTTGTTAACACCTATCGAGGTTAGCTTACTCCTGACTCTGTCTCTGTATTTTGACATACCTACATCCGATTATAAAATTATTATTGAAAACCACACTCGGGTTTACTTTGTTTATTATATCTTGCACGAGATATAACAGCTGGCGACGAAGGTTTGTGTAACGTACTTACCTGAAAAAAAAAAATATATATATATATATATATATATATATATATATATATATATATATATATATATCAGATTACGCTGAACGGATTTCGGAAGCAGATTCGCAAGGCAAAGATATCTGTTGACGCCGATTAAGATTTGGAAAACGGAGTCACAAGTCAAAAGGAAACTTTTTGAAAAGTAAGAAAATTTTTACTGTTAAATTGTGATTTGAAAAATATATATTGAACCGCGACTCAAATACGAGCCGGTCTAATAATTGATTATTCAGGTAAAAATTACAGGTTGTAAAAATATTACGGCTGTAAATTGTCGGTTAAACGTCAAAAAAAAAAAAATATTTGACGAAAGGAATAGTCTGTCCCACACGCGATACAGATGCCTAAACATCGTTAAAGCAGATAACGAGGATTTTGTGTCATACGCGGGAACAGTGAACTCTCTGGTTGAACAATTCAAGTTAGAAGAAATAACCAAAGATGTATTCAAGTGCCTAATTTTTCTTCAAGGACTAACTGATCCTAAATATAAAGAAATTAGGTTGAGCAAGACTCAAAAATAACATTACAAAGGGTGACCGAAGAATGCCAACGTTTCATAAACGTAAAAAGGGATAATATACAAATTGAGGAAAAATGTGTTGCTAATGTTCGACACGTAAAAACTCAAAAAACTCCAAAAGCTAAAAAGATAGAAAAATGTGAGACGTGTGGAAAAAATAACCTTACCAAAGACACGTGTTGGTACAAAAATAAATTCTGCCAATCGTGCGGAAATAAAAATCATACCAAAGACGTGTGTTGGTACAAAAATAAATTCTGCCAATCGTGCGGAAATAAACATCATACCAAAGATGTGTGTTGGTACAAAAATAAATTCTGTCAATCGTGCGGAAATAAAGGGCATAAATATACGGTTTGCCGTAAGAAAAGGAAATTACAAGATGTAAGCCTGGTATTATCAGAAAAAGAAATTCAGAAAGGTAAAAATAGAAAGTACATAGATGTACATATAAATAATCATACAATTACTTTCCTATTGGATTCTGGTTAAGACATAAGCATCATTGATGAACAAACATGGAAAAATATTGAAGACCTAAATTATCTGAAACCAAAAAAAAAAAAAAAAGAGGGGTTTCAGGAAAGAAATTAAACTTTAAGGGAGAATTAAAGTGCGATATTTTGTTATGTGGCAAGACTGCAAAAACGAAAGTGTATGTAATCCAAGGGATTAATTCATGTCTTTTGGAATAGACTGATAGTACTTTTTGATTTGTTTGAACTCCCGATTAACTCATTTTGCAACGTAATAAACAGTGCAGAAAAACAAAAAAGTATTAAAAATGAAAAATTCATGAATGAATGAAAAAAGAAGAATATCCCAGAGTTTTTTTCTGAGGGATTGGGTTTATGTACTAAGACGGAAGTCAAATTTGAACTCAAGGAAAATGTGAAACCAATTTTTAAACCTAAGAGTAACGTTACTTTTTCCTCCTTAGAGACAATTGATAAGGAATTGGAAAGACTTGAAAAAATGGGAGTGATATCTAAGGTTGATCATTCGGATTGGGCCTCCCCCACAGTTTATGTTAAGAAGAAAAATGGAAAAATAAGAGTGTGCGCAGATTTTTCAACTGGGTTAAATGATTGCCTTAAAAATCACAGTTACCCACTACCTTCACCAGAAGATATTTTTTCAAAATTGAATGGTGGGAAGATTTTTTCAAAAATCGACTTGTCTGACGCATACTTGCAGATTAAAGTGAGTGACGAATGCTCAAAATATTTGTGTATAAATACACATAAAGGTATTTATAAGCTAAATAGGCTTCCTTTCGGCTTAAAGGTCGCCCCAGCTTTGTTTCAACAGGTGATGGACACTATGCTGGCAGGCCTTGAGTTTGGTACCGCCTATTTAGATGACATTCTAGTCAAAAGTAAGAATGTTCAAGAACATAAAACGCACATCAGAGCAATATTCAAAAGACTAGAAGATTTTGGTTTTAAATTAAGCCACGAGAAGTGTAAATTCTTCATGGAAAGAATTACATACCTCGGACAGGTAATAGACAGTGAAGGCAGGAATCCGGACCCACAGAGAGCCGATGCAATTAAGAACATGCCTGCACCCGACACAGTTGCGAAACTACAATCGTTTCTGGGGTTGGCACAATATTATGCAATCTACATACCTAAAATGTATGATTTAAGAGCCCCCCTTAACAAATTGTTGAAAAAAGACAAGAAATGGTTTTGGTCAAAAGATTGCGAGACGGCTTTTCAGAAAATAAAAAAATGCCTACTCTCAGATCTCGCCTTTAGCACATTATGATCCTGAGAAAGAGATCATTCTGGCAACTGACGCAAGTTTGTACGGAGGGGTGCTGCACTGCTACACAAATATGAAGATGGCACTACTAAACCAATCGCGCGACGATCGAGGACTCTTCTTCCGGCTGAAAAAAATTATAGCCAGATCGAGAAGGAGGCTTTGTCGATTGTGTTCAGGGTTAAAAAATACCATCGCTTTTTACATGGTAGATCATTTGTACTTCAAACGGACCATAAACCGTTACTTACAATATTTGGAGGTAAAAAACGCATTCCTATGCATACAGCTAATCGCTTACGGCGATGGGGTGTAACCCTGCTTAATTACCATTTTAGGATGGAATACGTCAAATCTAAAGAACATGGGCATGCGGATGGATTGTCAAGGCTGATTCCAAAAAATGAAGAAATTTTAGAAGAGATGGTTATAGCAGTATTAACTGAGGAAAAAGAAATATCAGGTCTCTTGTTGAATACAATCAGGGAATTGCCGTTAA